TGCCTCCGGGCCAGCCCGGGGAGGTGGGTCCACCCCCCCCCCCGGGCCTGGGCTGCTCCGCTGGAAAGCCATTTTTTTTTTTTTACCCCTAGCCTCGGGCTGGGCTGCATGGGTGGAAAGGCTCTTATGTGTTTATATTTTTTACAAAATAATGTGTGATTAACTTGAAATACTGTTATAATAGCATCCTCGTTACGTAGAAGTTATTCTCGATTTGGGAGTTAGCATTCCTCCAACAAATGGGATCATTGTGATTTGAGAGCAGTTTCATTTATTGTACTCATATCCCAAACATAGCATCATTTGGAAGTGGCTTTAGGTTAAGTGTTGCTTGCTTGCGTATGAAACAACTACTACTAACATGAATCTCGTAACCATCTCTCTTTCTTCCATATGTTTTAGGACGCTAGTATTCCCTACTTAGGCCCCATAAGTAACTCAATTTGATATGGATAAGAGGCGAAAAACCAAGAAAAGCTAACGAAAATTGGTAGTTTTGGGGTTTATGGAGGAACCCTTAACCCAAAAGAAACTTTCCTACTTTTTACTTAATAGTTCCCAACATTTCCTTTCCTTGAGAGTGAATTTCGAAGACTCAACCACGATTTCTTCAATGGCAATTGCTAGAAAATATAAAACGGGTGAGGTTCATCAGATCACCTCAAAACATCCTACTGTTAGAAGCCTCCTACGGTCACCACCACGTACCACGAACATGCCACCATGAGACTCAACTTCGGTGCACGTTCTCAGGTCACGGCTAGAGGGTTGGCTATAAAAGTTGCCTTTTTGATGCATCACGTCCTCAAGACCAAGGGCTCAGGTGAAATGTAAGCCACATAAAATATTTGAAATTTTAGTTGGAGCCAGGTGAAAAAGAAATTTTTAGGCTTAAAGCGGTGATAAGTTGAAAACTTAGGAGATTTTGTAATTTTTGGAATCGTTCAAGTCTATTTATATTTTATTGGAGGAGTTAGAAGGCTTTGGAACCTTTTTTTTGGAAGCTTTTTTGGGAAATGGAGGTACAGGAAAGTGGCACACACATCTTGCAGAACGTTGGAAAGTGATCTTTGCGTTTGCTCGTTGGATAGTTGTACGGTGCTTCCTACATTTGGCAAGTTACACCTGCCACACACATTAGGGGCAACTCTTTTTGTACAAACCAGCAATTTCAATTTGAACAATGAAGAATCTCCTACATACCTCTAAAATATTTGACACAAGAATTCATGTTTAGGTCACAATCATCACTTGTAATCGAAAACAAAGGCGCAATTGCCACAATACATAACCAGTTAACACTACATGTGATGGCCCTCTAGTCTCGCTATGTATATACATCATGTCATCGCAAGGAGAAAAACTTGTGTGAACCGGTTACAGCTAAGTTTTTCTCTGTTACAAGCTCATGCTTCCAGCAACCACTCCTCTCTTTTTATCCTAACTGATGGAACTCACCTTCTAGTTTCAGGTTCTAAGGATTTTCCAGATTATGGAAGGCAACTCCACCGCAACAGGAAATTCTCCAATTGTATTCTAGAAAGGGGGGCACAAAAATTCACATCCTCAAGGGCAAAGTATAAAACTGAGCTCTAAATATTTTATATGCACAGTATATATAAAATGATCAAGCATGGACACTTGAAACATGAGAGCAGCAAATTTACTATGTGCAATTAAGGTGCGTAATAAAGGTATCAAGATCAACAATAATTTGTCTTACCACCATATCAACAACAATTTGACTTTTCACATAATCACATTCAACCTATCAGTTTGGATTTGGGATATCATTATGAAGCTAATTTGAATTTAGGATTTAGCAAAACAAAATTGACATTGATCAAGTTGGAACACATAATAAAGGTATCAACAACAATTTGTCTTACCACCATACCATACACAAAAACTTATGCTGGAGAAAGGACTCATGTCCTCCACAATTGCTCCACAATGCCTCAGCTTCATGAACTAATACAATTTTTGAAATTGCACCAAGTGGAAAAAGCTAAAAGATGGTATGCTAAAAGGAAAAGGAAGAAAAGAAAGTCATACATCATTACTGTGTAAGACGCTTTGAGCAGAATGCAGATACATCCTGTCCATGACTAGCGTTCCTATTTACAACGTCAATGTTCATGAATCATACCAATCAGAGACTAACCTGACTGAAGTACACACAGCTCATCTCAAATATTACTTCTTCAATCATAACCCCCAGCGTGCCGCCACACCCCTCCCCCACAAACCAAAAAAGAAGAAAAAGAAGAAGAAGAAGAGATAATTACTTCTTCAAGCTGCTTTTTCTTTCATCAGAGCAAGGGATAAAGGGCTGACAGCTATTGATAGTTATCACTTCAAATATGGACGAGATTAAATTCCGAATAAAAGCAATATATGTGTGTAATTCTATGAAAACAATTTTCAAGGCTAACCAATGTTCATGTATAAACTGCAGGAGATTGGCAACACCACCGTGGTAAGGCAAACTTTAAGCAAGTCATCTAATAAGAAAGTATATATGAGTATAACTAAAAGCAGCCAGGCTATGAAGTAGAAAAGTGAACAAATGAATTTACTTCCAGCAGAATTAAATAACACGTTGGGAAAATTTCTAGGGTACAAGACGACCTTCTAATATTGTGCCAAAAGCAAGCTAATACATGTGAGTGATGGTTACAAACCTGGATATTCAGGGGGTTAAGTCTATATACAAGCTCAGCCATTTCAAGGTATCAATATCATACATCCTGGATATCCACTTTCCCTTGATACACATCCCACAATTGCGGTACTTCTTCGAGATATCCGGTTACAAACCTCCCCAAGAACTCCTTCTCTGCAGGAAGCAACACAGAACCTAAATTCAAGTTTTCATTTACCAATCCTTTCGACAATAGAACTTTAACAACCGAACACCTTGGAATAAGTCTCCTCTCCAAACTGAGGCTCAGGACCACTGGATATTTGGCAATCATTTCTGATGGCCATCCCATCTTATTCACTAAAAGGTCCATTGCCTGCAGTAGTTTCTTCTCTGACACAATCATAAACTGCGGGTTCTTCCTGAAAGCAGAGAGAACATCATCCTCAGACCAACCCCACCTCCTCAAAACTTCTCGACTTCGATTCCATATCAGCTTATTTTTACCACACAATGCACGCATTGCATTCACTGAAGTCGACTTTTCCAGATTAAATCCCATTTCCTTAACCTCACCCACAAGTTGACCAAAATTTTCAGGATTTATCATCAAAGAGGTAGTGTAGTGAGCTAGCAACATAGAAATGCATGATTGGGGCATACCCAATTCTCTCAGAAGTCCAATATTTGCCAACACATTGCAGTTGCTTTCCACGAAAATACACGAGTTGTGCTTGAAAATAGCAACAAGCTTTTTCTCAGAAACCAGACTCCTAAGGAAATTGTACGTGGGTATGATCTGTTTCTTCAAGCTTCGTGACAAAAGCTTCGGATTAAAAGCCAGAGTTTTTGCAAGGTCCTGCCTTGAAATTCCAAGGGAGCTGAAAAACGCAAGCTTGGGCAAAAGGGTTTTCTCAGGATTGGCTAAAAGAAGTTGTGGACGCGACCTCACCAGCTTGGAGATCTGGATTCCAGAGAGTCCATGGTTTCTCAAAAGGGCCAAAACAGAGTCTGCTCTCTCTGGGGACTGCAACTCGACCCACTTGGCTGCTGAAATCGCACCTTCCGGCGACAAGCCACATGAGTTTATGAGGTAAGCGACTGTGAAATTGTTTGGATTTTCTGAGATTTCAGTGGTGATGGGTCTGTAAAGTAACTGATTTTGAAGAGAAAATTGCGAGGGTTTTAGCTCTCCAACAATAAATCTTTTGGTTTTGGAAGCAAATGTACAA